ATATATATATATATATATATATATATATCAGGCCTCGAATTTAACTGTGGCCATTGCCAACGGTGCCCTCCCAGTTGGCCTTGGTGCCCCTGAAAAATGAAGCACGACGACGGCCACTACTTGCCTGCCCTTTTGAAGCCTTGGCCTCGGTGCCCTCACGATGCTTAATATAGATCGTTTGACATGTAAAATAAATCTAAGTAAGAACGTTTAAATCTTGAAAGAAAACACGAAAGCCAAAAACTTACGTCGTCTAAGCTAGCCTAAGCCAGGTTGCAGTGACGGAACAGAACATGAGAGAATTTCCATGTGTGTTGTTGATACGAACTGTTTTTGCGGTTACCGTTGTGTGCGCATGCATCTTACTCTAGCGGTTGTTGCAATATAAACATGGGCTCATTCCACTGGTTCATTTCGTTGGAACGAATTTTCGTTGAGTATTATTTCATTCGACTGGTTCGTTAAATAGACTTCGTTGACAATGAAAATTGATGTAAACCAGAGTGCGTTAATCATCGTTAAGTTACCCACGTGACCAAAGAGAAATATGGCCGATTGGTGATTTTTTATTAACAACATTTGCGTTAATATAACTTAGATTAAATTTCATAAAATGAACATTATAATATTTACCCACATGGAGTCAAAAAATTATTGTGGGCAAACAGAATAAAAAAAAACTGGATGAAAATATTTTTTTTAACGAAAAACCCATACTACTGAGTCTGTTGAAGCAATCTTGATTACACAATGTGTATCGCGGTAACTATACAGCCATTTTGTTTTGTCGAGTATTACAAGTTTTCTATTCGACTGGTCGTCTTTGTTGTGTAGGATGTTACCGCTGCGTCGCAGGTGGGCGTGGTTTAACGAAGAACGACCAGTCGAATACGGCCTTTGTATAGTTGTACACATGTGCTTGCTACACAACTTTGGGCGATCTTACGTCATCGCAGCTTTCGCGGGCAGTTTAGAGTTGTGGCTTCCTCTCCGATGACGACGGACTGAGCAACAGCACAAAGATATCAAACTTCTTGAAATTTGACTGTTTTGTACGATCGCCGACCGCCGCAGTATATTCCAACATTGAATCGATAATTAATAGAATACTCTAAACGAAGTCATATTACCATTGACAACTATGGCTTGGCTAGGCCTAGCTTGGCTTGGCCTAGGCCTAGCTTGCCTAGCCTGGCTACCGACGAAGCAAGGCACTCGCGAGAAATTAGTACTGAGGCTAAATCAAATTTTGCCTTGGGTGCCCTTTTATACTTGAAAGTTTGGTGCCTTTCCATTTGGCCTTGGTGCCTTTCAAAATCATGTCATACTTAAGGCCATTTGGCCTTGCCCATAAAATCCCCAATTTCGAGGCCTGATATATATATATATATACTACATAAATACAAGAAACAGAAAAGAAAAGAAAAACAAATGGGTAAATTAAATCAGCATCACCAACTGGACACATTAACAAATAAAAAGAACACAACACCAAACTCTGTGTAATTGTCATTTGTTACTTAAATGACTAAACAGACTCAGTATTAGCAGCTTACCTAATCAAGTAAGCTTCCCATGTAAACATCATTCTAACTACAAAAGTGTGTGATACTATATAATCAATTCACAGCACCATTAAAATTCACTTTGGTATTTTTTACCAGATACCCGTAAAACCACATGGGTGCCAAGCGCCATAACCCAAACTACTGTTAAACTTAATGAGGCGGATCGTGCCCACAGGAATGCTAATATTGGAGCGCAAATGCCTCTATCTTGCCTACGCTGCAAAAAAGGTCATTTAATGTACACATTCTAATTTTGTCTTCGTATTAAATTTTCAATATCTGTATATTTGACAATGAAGAAGATATTCACTTAGGATAAGAATAATTTTAAAATCATTGCTGTTCATTTGACAAAATTTATATTTATATTTTTTCGTAAATTCATTATAGGTATGGCAAAAAAGATGGATAGTTTTCAGAAAAGCCTCGAGCACTGGACCAAAGAGACTAGAGAAGTTCATGGATGAACGCTGTGCAAATCACCGTGGTTACCACAAGATCATCATATTAGATCATGTGATCAGGGTCGCACGGCTTGCATCAAACGTGAAGAAACATGGCGTTATAATCACATTCAGTGATAACTCGTCCAGACAGTTTGCGTGTGATTCAGGTATATAAATTAGAATTGATTGCTTCTTATTAATTGCTTTTAATAGATATTTGTGCATCATTCATTTATTATATTTAACAGTTCACTTGTGCTCTGTCGTACGATGGAGAATTGATGTAATCACCAGGTACTTTGCTTTCGTGTCTCACAAAAATATCTAGCACCGGTAATTTCCTGACGTATCAATGTCAGGTGATTTTATAACATTGAATTAAAAAGCATGTTCTCTACTTGAGGCTTATAGTGAGACACAACTGAAATGTCATCGTGCATGAAAATGCCAATTTAGTTTGTTTTGTGCTGTAAACATAATTCAAGGCAAAAATAACGTTAAATTAGAACAGACTTTGAAAACATTTAAACATGCTAATATGTCAAGTAGATGTGATACATTTAGCATAGTACAGTTTTTGTTTTTTTGCTTGAATTCTGATCCACACATGTTTTATTAAAAGATATAATATTTATTTTGTTTCAGTTTTTAAAATCTTTTTATTTGTATATAGGATTCATGTTGTGTGTGTGACATTTATCTAGCTTTGATTCATGTCTACCAGCATATAAAATTCATAATAAAAAATTCCAACAAATCAACGGGATTGAAACTGTATAATAGTTGATGTGTACAGGGGTTGTTCAATCTGTATAAAAAAAAAGAAATGATTTGCATAGATATTAATCATATTTAAATAAAAATCAGTTGTACTGTAATCATATGACTATTGGTTGGTGGTCACTGGAGAGTGTAATTAAAAGCCTATATAATCCAGCTTAGAGGAGTTTACCACAATGGGCCTATGCATATCTGCGCACATCTCAGCAAAGTACCATTAGCAGCGGTGATAGATGATGATGCGAGTGCAGTAGGTTGAGGGCTTTGTACGCCGTCCTCCTGAGGATTAAGATTGAGAAACATAACAAGCCATGTGGATTAGTATTGATTGATTAGGATTATCTCGAGGTTAATGACTTGTGACTCACTAATCCATCTCTTAGTCATGTGGTCGTTATTTAAACATGTATGATTTCAATCATTTGCTTGATGAAACTTACATGAATGCATTTTTTTACATCTACTGTATACGCATTTATGTAAAACAATAAAATCATGTGTACCTTCAGAGGTCGATCTAGGATTTAAAAATGGGAGGGATGACTAGTTAGTTTGAAAAGGTTGTTTAGATGCTGGTTTCAGAATTTTTTTTTTTTTAGAGGAATTCAAATTTCAGCTTTTTCTCTGTTAGACCTACAGTATATAAAAAAAATGTGATGATGATGGTAATGGTTACATTGGCAGCAGCATTGATTGAGTAATAGTAGGGACCTAAATTTGAAAAGTCCATGGCTCGTAAATTTGAGTGGACATATTCCCATAAATCGTTTTGTAGATTATTTGGTAAAAAGTAAGCCAATAGACACTACTATTTCATTCGTTCATTTCACCTTTTATTTTGAAAAATAAATTGGACAGGCTTTTTCTAACAACACTGGCTAACATAAATACAATTTGTATGAAAATGTCACAGTTTTCACAAATCAATTTAATACTGATAAATGTAATTAGCATGTACAGTAAAGTGATACTTCACAAACTAAGTTCATTCATACATAGGCCTACTTGTGCAATATGGAATATCTCATTTATCATTTGAACCATTTTTCGAGAAACACTTGCAACACAAGAGAGTGAGAGAGAGAGGTAGTCATAGTATAATAACAACAATACAATAAAATATCTATTGAAATATAATTTTTAACATTTTAATTCTATTTATAGAATATTTATATTTATTTTATATATATTTTATTTATATATAATTTTTAATATCATTTCGTAGTTTATGCATTAACCACAATTGGAGTTTTTGTTTTTTGAAAATATGTATATTTACTTCATTACTATTATTAGGTCAAAAGATAGCCACACAATTATTACCTCCAATCATATTTAATAGACTTTAGATTGAATAATTGCATATTATTTCTTTTTCTCCATTATAAAACAATATGAATTACTCAATTAACATGAAAACACATTCTTTTTTTTTTTTTTTGCTTTATTAACATATGAATACATTTCTTTGGTCTCTTGTAGTTTTATCTCCCATTATGTTGAAACGTCTTTTCCATTCTGTTAAAACAATACGTGATGGCTCATGATCTAGCAAAACAAGAACAGAATTCTTGAACGATTTAGGGCATAACATCGATACGTGAATCTCTTACGTGAGAGTGAGTGAAATACGTTGATAGCTATGAATGCACTCAATCACAAATCAATACGCCTCAGGAATTTTTTTCTATCATACACAAAATATAGAGCAATTGCTTATTGCGTTGACATCATACACACTATTATTTACCATCTCTTAATTGGACTGGTGGTAATGTTAAACCCCATCCCACGGCATCAAAATTAGTGAGTTTGCGTCTTGCATCAATGTAAGCTAGACTGAACTGCAGATTTTTTTTAAATGGTTTTAATGGTTTTGTTTTATTGTTTGTTACACTGACTTGGTATAATTGTATGTTAGATTGATTGAAATTTTATAACTGGTAGTTGCAACAGTATTTCACATATATGTGGGCAAATTTTGATCTAGATATGAAAAAGTAGAATGTTGTAGATATTGGAGTTCAATAGTCGAAGGGTAATATTTAAAAAAAACTACTTAAAAAGATATTATACCAAGCACTATTGCATACCTCTTTTATTGTTATTGAAATTGGCATTTTTCTTTTTTTATGAAAAGAGGATGTTTTTTTCTGCTAGTTGTCATGAAATACTGCATGATTATCGAAATGGACAGATAAAAAAAAATCAATATGCTTAAAATTATGACCAACATTAGGCAGATGAATCATTTTTCCCATTTAGTTGGCCCCTGGTATTTACTCCTTCCATGATTGACACATTGTGTCATTTTCATCAAATTTTCCATTATAGGCAAAATATCATGCATTAAAAATTATTTACATTTTACTGAATATACAATGATGGAACATTGGTCAGGTTAGGTGATAATGATATTGAGGGCAGTGTTCATTCAGTGACCATCTCCCACAAAATACAGAGACTTGCTTGATTGCTGTCAAGAATGCGGGAATGATGACAGTGAGATTGAGGGCAGTATTTATATGTGGCATAGACAAGCCAAACCAGTCACTTGTCGCAAAAATCGATTTTGAGTTATTAATACAATGTGAAGAGTAAAATAAGAGCTATAAAATGGTAAAAAAATCATTCAAATTCGACATTTAATTTTGAAGTTACAAGCATTTAAGCATACCGCTGTTTAAAGAACAATATATGAGAAATCAGCCTTCAAACTTTATGATTTCAGGCATTTCTCATGCAGAAACTATCATAAAATCATTAAAAAGTGTTGTTTTAACATCGAAATTGGGAAAAATAACAGCCCAGCATGATGTATAGATACATAAACCTTAGTTTAGTGTAATAAAATAAATTTTTAAAAATTTTACAGTTTACCATGTTTTTGCTATTTTCTCTGAAACACAATTGGCGACGAGTGACTGGTTTGGCTTGTCTTTGCCACATATTTGGATATCCCCCCCTCAAATTTTCCCCTTATTGTGCCCAGTTAAGTAGGTCTAATTCTTGAATTCGATTGATGTATCAGGTTATATTAGTATTATGAAGCTGTCTGACAGTGGTCCGTGGACCGTAGGCCTTGACCATGGCCGTGTCTAATGGTGACTATTTTCATTGGTTGTTCATTGAACTAGAAGGGATTAAGATGTTGGATTGATGGCTGTATAAATGATTATGTTCCAATTCCTTTTTCAGACTAAGAACAAAGATGAATCGCGACAATTCTGATGTCTATAGTGTAATTTATGATGTGTGTAGAAACAAGTGAGCTTTATCATAATCCCATTATCATTAAAAATTGAGAAATAATTGACTAAAATGTAAATGCTAAAATCCTTTTCTAGATCTCATACCTCATTTATTTAATGCTGTAAAAATATAATTTTATTTGAACAAGTACATGAGTATTAAAAATCCCAGAATTTTAACTTTCTCTTTTTTACTGTAAACTTGTATTCTTGCCTATTTTATTGTAATGTGTATTTGAACTTATTTTAATGGAATTTGTGCAATATAAATTAATAAATTACTGTAATAAATTAGTTTTTACAACATGGTTGTAAGTCATATCCACACTATCAAATTTTATCTGACAAAAACATAACATGCCTAAATATGGTAATGATTTCATCATATCATCACCATATATAGGCATATCATGACTACATATGGGCATACAACAGTATAGTGTCAACAAAGCTTTAGTGGTGTTTGATTCTTTTACGTTTTTTTAATTTTCTTATTCATTTTTTAAAAATTATTTTTGGCTACACTTTTTAAAAGTAAATTGTATTCTGGTTTTTATGAAAGGCAATATACAAATGTAGTAATGCATAATGATTTTTCATAGTGTCTTGAAAAATGATTTCAGCTGCTACATTGATTTTTATGTCGAAGAAAATTAAATTTCATGTTATCTCAATTAAACTCTCAGTTACCATCATCATTAATATCTTCATGATGACAATCATCTTTTCATTCTTTAGGTATATTTTTTTATTTCATCTTGGCCATACAGTTTTTAAATCTCTCACAATATAGAAATATAATTACAATATGAAATAATATTTAGATGTTTTTGTTTTGGTTCATGGAATTCTATAGGAGTGATGTTTTTTTATAATATAAAATAAAATAAGACAGCCAAAAAAATAAATAATGATAGCAAAGTTTGTATATTAATCCAAAAAAATACTGCATCGGAAACACAGTTTAACACTAAATGTAAGTTTGACATTCTATGAAGAGATACATTATATTAATATTTATTATGATAAAACTGTTTCTTACTAGTAACATATTTCTTCTCACTATGTCATCATCTCCATGACATTATGACAATAATCATTAGTTCAATTCTATTATGACATCATCGTTCTCAGTA